CACACTGCTGACCACCTCCCCACACTGACCACCTCCCACACTGACCACCTCCCTACACTGACCACCTCCCTATACTGACCACCTCCCACACTTACCACCTCCCTACACTACCTCCCCACACTGACACCTCCCATACTCCTGACCATATCCCCACACTGACCACCTCCCCACACTGCTGACCACATCCCCACACTGACCACCTCCCCACACTGCTAACCACATCCCCACACTGACCACTTCCCCACCTGCTGGCCACCTCCCCATACTGACCACCTCCTCACACTGCTGGCCACCTCCCCATACTGCTGACCACATCCCCACACTGACCACACCCCCACACTGACCACCTCCCACACTGACCACCTCCCTAAGTTGACCTACAGACTGGACATGCACATGTCCGTATCAGCACAGCAGGCCTAGCTCCTTCACCTCTGTGTGTTGACCAGTTTGTTACAGTCCCATGGGTGGTCAGCTTACAGAAGTCTACTGTGTATATGAAAGGTAAGAGAAGAATTTCATTTCTTCAGTTTGTTTCTAAGAATCTGGATTTATTTATAATCCTTCACTTGCTGGTTAATAAGGGGAAAATAATGTCTTCGAGTGGTCCTTTCTGGCTCTCCCACCTGGGGACTCCTGGAGTTGCTGGGCCTCACCTACCCAGCTGTGAAGGCGCCATCCTCCCCTCCAGGGTCCACAACTGCCACTCGTGTGCAGCCTGCATTGTCACTAGGCCACCTCTTGCAAGCTCCTTATCCAGACTTTTAGCAACTTCTGTACCTATCTATGCCACAGGGGCCAGGAAGGCTAACCCCCAGGCCCAGCCAGCCGTAGTCCACAGAGCCTTTATAAGTGAATTGGAAAAGACGTCCCTAGTGGGCGGAGGAGTTAGTAAAAGTCACCACTTTTTCAAGATGATGTGTCGGTGAGCTGATGGAGCCTGTTTATCCTGGCTCATGAGAACCAGTGGTTGGATATTCAGGAATTCTGAGACCCCAGTTGTTAAATATAAATATCATTAAAAATTAAATTGTGTAAACTTATAGTTAAATTATATCAACATGAGGGAAGTCCTGAGCAAGGCCGGGCCGAGCAGACGCCTCGGGCACTGCCTGGCGCTAAGAAAGGGAGCGGGCTACCGGCCAACATGATCTCGGAGCGGGCCGGCCACCGCGAGAGCGCAGCGAGTGGGAAACTGAGGCCCAAAGAAGAGAAATTACTTGCCCAGTGATACATGGATTAAAGTCCGCGTCGTAGCTGTGCCCTTCACCCAGGCCGTGTGCTGTATGTCCATGCATTGTCCCGTTGAGTGGGAGCATTCACTGAGCTCTTTCTACATCCAGGGGTAGAGCCAGTTGTGCAGAGCCCTGCAGCCCGCAGCCCTGGGAGAAGCAGTGGATGTCATGGAGCCCAGCTGAAATGGCCTGGCCCCCTTGAGCCCGTCCCAATCCCTGGTCCCAGGTCTCCATCCCAGTGCTGAGATGTTTTTTGATCATCCTGAGAAAAATGAGCCTTGGCCTCCAGGCCTGATAACGCGAGCCTCCCTCCCATGGAGCACTGGGACAGTTCCTGAGGACCTGGAGGGAGATTAGCCAGAAGTAGGCTTGTTTTCCTGCTAAGAACGAAGTGGCTTTCCTGAACACATCTTCATTATGATTCATACCAACCTGAAGAAAAAATTCAGCTGCTGTGTCCTGGCTTTTCTCCTGTTCGCAGTCATCTGTCTATGGAAGGAAAAGAAGAAAGGGAGTTTCTATAATTCCTTTAAATTGCCAGCCAAGGAATTCCAGGCATTAAAGTATCTGGGGAAACCAGCCGCAGGGTCTGAGTCCCAGTCTGCGTCCTTGAGCAGCACCCAGGACCCCCACAGAGGCAGCCAGGCCCTCAGCGGTGTCAGGGGCTCAGCCAAGGCTAAACCAGAGGCCTCCTTTTACGTGTGGAACAAGGACAGCTCTTCCAAAAACCTTATCCCCAGGCTGCAGAAGGTCAGGAAGAACTATCTCAACATGAACAAGTACAAAGTGTCCTGTAAGGGGCCTGGGCCAGGTGTCAAGTTCAGTGCAGAGGCCCTGCGCTGTCACCTCCGGGACCACGAGAACGTGTCCATGGTGGAGGCCACAGGTTTTCCCTTCAACACCTCCCTGTGGGAGGGTTACCTGCCCAAGGAGAACATTAGGATCAAGGCTGGGCCTTGGGGCAGGTGCGCTGTTGTCTCCTCAGCGGGATCTCTGAAGTCCTCTCAGCTGGGCCAAGAAATAGGTAGTCATGATGCAGTCCTGAGGTTTAATGGGGCACCTGCATCATGGGGCACCACAATTAATGGGGCACCCGCGGCCAACTTCCAACAAGATGTGGGCACGAAAACTGCCATTCACCTGATGAACTCTCAGTTGGTCAGCACAGAAAAGCACTTCCTCGAAGACAGTTTGCACAATGAAGGCATCCTGATTGTGTGGGACCCATCTGTGTACCATTCAGATATCCCAAAGTGGTATCAGAATCCGGACTATAATTTCTTTGATAACTACAAGAGCTATCGTAAGCTGCACCCCGATCAGCCCTTTTACATCCTCAAGCCCCAGATGCCCTGGGAGCTGTGGGACATCCTCCAAGAAGTCTCCCCAGAAGAGATTCAGCCAAACCCGCCATCTTCCGGGATGCTCGGTATCATCACCATGATGACACTCTGTGATCAGGTGGATATTTATGAGTTCTTCCCATCCAAGCACAGGACTGACGTCTGCTACTACTACCAGAAGTTCTTTGACAGCGCCTGCACCATGGGCGCCTACCACCCACTGCTCTTTGAGAAGAATTTGGTGAAGCATCTTAACCAGGGCACAGATGAGGACATTTACCTGCTTGGAAAAGCCACACTGCCAGGCTTCAGGACCATTCGCTGCTGAACACGGCCCCCAACCAGGCCTTTTACTCTTCTCCATCAAGCATCTTACGGCTGATCTCTCAGATACTCCAGCCTTGGAAGACCATTTTCCCAAGCAATGCCGGCCTGCTCCTCACACTCTGTGGGCTCCTGTCAGCAAGAGCTCTGGAGCTGCAGGAGCCTGAAGCAAGGAACCAGGCTTAGCCTTCCCTAAAGCCACAGAAAGTGTGTGATCCCAGAGACCCTTCCACCATGTACACACACTCGGCATGCTTTCCAGACACCATTCTCTCCACCTTTCTCACCAGGGCTGCCAACGCTGGGCTTGGTTTTTCCCAACTGAATGATGTCATTTTCACAAACTAATGCTCTATATTGTGTGAAATCTGTACCTCGATATTGATATGCTTATCATATCAATAAAGAAACTCTCCCAAATTAAAAAAAAAATAAATTATATCAACATTTATCATTTCCTAATTACTTTTTTTTCTACTTTGGAGGTTGCACGCACCTGTTGGATCCGTACAGTAGAAGTGCTCTGTAGTGATAGCATGTACCTCTCTCCGCAGTTCGGCAGGCAGTGGAGTTGTGTTGCTACCACATCTTGAAGTCAGCTGTGATGGGAGTGTTTACACCGCAGGCATCAGCAAAGGCTACCCATCAAGTCTTGCTTTATTATTTTGTTTATTAAGAAAGAAATATAGGTAATACTGATAATGCAGATTAAATTCACAACCATGTGGGGCCTATCGTCATTACATGGTGAATAGTGAAAAAAATACAAGGAATATTTTTTCAATATTTAAAAACTTTCAGCAAATTTACTCGGGTCATTGACAAATGGGTAAAGATCCAATTCCAAACAACATACACGTTTGGTATCTCACTTTCCTCTTAATTGTTAACCTAAGAAAAATATCAAGCAATGTGTATGTTGGAACTACACTCATTCACCAATTGCAACTGTAGGTTCACTGCTGTACGCAGCCTCTTGCCGGGGTGCAGGATTGTGATCTGCAGTTCACCACCCTCATCCCTTGCCCCATTCCCTCCTCTGAGGATCTTTGTATGTGAATAAATTATACACCAATACCCCATGGCCCTACCCCCAGGGCCTCATTCCATTGAATCATGCCAATTTTTGTTACTATGTCTATATCCTAGGCTGGTTCCTGTTTGGCAGAAAACTGGCCTCCTCCCAGAGTCTTTTTTTTTTCTTTTTTTTGAGACGGAGCCTCAAGCCATCCCCCTGGGTAGAGTGCTGTGGCATCACAGCTCACAGCAACCTCCAACTCCTGGGCTCAAGCGAGTCTCCTGCCTTAGCCTCCCAAGTAGCTGGGACTACAGGCGCCCACCACAATGCCTGGCCATTTTTTGGTTGCAGCCAACATTGTTGTTTGGCAGGCCCGGGCTGGGGATTCGAACCCGCCACCTTAGGTGTATGTGGCTGGTGCCTTAGCCGTTTGAGCCACAGGCGCCGAGCCCTCCCAGAGTCTTGTACAAAGAGTATACGGCACTTTCTCTTCCCACCTCCATCTCACTCTTTCCCCTTTCCACCATTCCTGAAGGGTCCGTGTCTAAGAAGTCTATCTTATCTGATCTGTAGAGGAATCTGAGTGTACCAAATTTGGTTGTGATTTGGTAAAAAGAAGTGGGGTGGGAAGGGGGGGGGGATAAAGGCATTTAGAGAATCTTCTAAAAATAACAGATTAGCTTGTGGTCTGTGTGCCTGCTGTACAATCTGGTATTTGAATGCCAAGTTGGATGCTAGGGCTGACTGCACATTTTGCTGGGCCCTGAAGAATAGAAATGTGGGGCTTTTTGTTCAAATTCATGAAGAATTTCAAGATGGCAACAGCAGAGCAGGGAGCCAAGCCTGGGGACCCCCTGGATGTGGGGCCCTTCTGAGCGTGGGGCCCTGCGTGGCACAGGCTGTACTCTCATGACACTGGCCCTGATGGGCATTTTCTTTCTCTATTTCTTCAGAGATATTCCTAATCACGACTCTCTTTCCCACCTCAGGCATGTGGTTGTTCTAGGTCAACCAGGGAGTGAGTCACATACTCAGAAAGGCACATATTCCATTTTTTGTTCCCCCCCCTCAAACCCCACCTTGATTACTTAAGGTTCTTAAACTGTGACCACATTCCCTCTGGACTCTGAGATCCAAGAGTCAAAGAAAGGGAAAGTGATGTTCCTTTTGTTTATTTGCACACCGGTCACCATTTGTGCTTTCAGCACCTGCTTTCCTTCCAGCACGCTCCAGGCCCCTGAGATTCAACGGTGAGCAAAGCAGATGTGTCCCTGTCCCTGTGAGGTTCTCTGCGTGGTGCAGAAAATGAACACACAAGTTTGTACGATTATAGACTGGGCTAAGGCAAGAAGCATGGTTTTAGGAGCAGCCTTTGATAGATCAAATAGATTGGCCTGGCTCGAGGGTATCCGGTAGGGGAGGGTGTTTACAGAGATTTCTCCAAGTGATCTTGGGCTGAGGCCTGAGTAACTATCAAAGGAGAGGGACCAAGCATATTCCACGCAGATGGAAGAGCTGATGTGGTGACAATAACCCCACCCTCTGCATAGCCCTGAAAAGATCCCTGCAGCTCGATGCCCCCTCTCCTGGCTGCTGGAGGCTGGATCTAAGCTGCTTCTTCATGCTGCCTTTTCAGAGTCTCTTCTGGAAAACAAAGAATTACTAAGACAACTGAAAATGACCAGGAAGAAAACATACTGGGTTCCCAACTCTTCTGGTGGCCTGGTGAATCTCGGCATGGACTTACAGGATGACAGGGTTTCAGGACTTAGCTATGTAAGTAGATGTCTTAGCATCAGAACACCAGGGAACTAAGTTGATAGAGTGTTCTCAGTGGTCATAAATAAGGTCAAAGAGTTTTGTTCCATATTTATTTACTTCTGATTTTTTTCAAATAGACCTCAGGCTTCCACCATTAGATGAGTCGTGATCCTTGGATATCAATCATCCGTCATCTCCTTATCTATCTGTTTACTTGTAACAGTATAAACAAGCATCTGAATGCCTGTCACCAGCACTCCGGCTTGGGCCCTGAGCATTGCATCTAGCCGTTGGTCTTCCTCATGTCTCTGCCCAACTCTCTCTCCCTGATGGAAGCACTACTCTGAATCTTTCCCCATCAGTCTCTTGCAGTGCTTTTAAAATAGTATTATTTGTTCTATATAAAGTCCTAAAAATTACCTTTCTCTTAATTGTCAACAGAGTAGCACGTAATATTCTGGGACTGATTTTTTTGGTAGATTTGCACTGAGGACGTCTTGGTCTCACACTCTGTGACTGGCCACAGCACCCTTTATTTCTGTCTACATTATCCATTGCCAGATAAAAGTCCAAGAAGGGGGTGGCCAGGCCAGAGTAGCCAAGCAGATGCGGGCAGAGCCCTGGTGGGACCCGGTTCCCTGACTTCCAGCAAGCAACCTTTCTTTAGGAGGCTGGACGTGGGAAGGACCACCTCATCCTGGGCAGGTGACTCAACATTCCTTGAGGACAGTATTTATGAGATTTGAAATTGATGCCTTTTGGGTTTTTCTTTCCCAAGAAAACTTACCCTCTCAAGGACAGCCTCTGGAGTCAGCAGGAGAGCAAGCCCGAGGCACGGGAAGGGACAGATGTACTCCCTTCGGGGAAGTACGACACTGCCTGGAAGAACATGATTCCCTTCCGTCCCAAGCCAAGGTGAGTCCTGAGGGGGAGAGGGGCAGTCTCCACAGGGCAATGATCCTCAGCCCTCACACCTAGGCCTCTCTCCAGGTGCCATCGCTGTGTCTCTACACAGTCGTGCTGCAGCCATGTCTCCAGAGCAGCCTGCGGCACGCGGGGAGGCACGGTCATCACACTCAGTGAGGGGCAGGCAGCCATGAGCAGGGCGGGCCTGGTCTGGGCCACTGTGGATATCACAGGGGCAGAGAGACAGTGAGCAGCAAACTCATCATTTGCCACGCGGCTGCAGTCTGAACGGGGAAGGTGGTATGAAGCTTGGCATGTTGAGGACAGTAGGAAAGTGACATCTTGCTGGGTTCTGAGTGCCTAAAGCTGAGTGAGGCCAGGAAGACGAACAAGTTTTCACCAGAAAACAGCAGCAGGGGAAGAGCCATGAGGATGACCAGCAGGGCAAAGGTCTCCCCCGAGGGGTAAGGGACAAGATGCGATGTGTCCAGGAACAGAGAAGAAGGCCAGTGTCACTGCAGTCTCAAGTGACAATGGGCACGGTGTGAGACGAGGCTGTCGAGGCCAATGCCAAGGAGCCTGCAGGTCCACACAGGCCTCACAGAAGATGTTAGTCTTCATTCTAAGAGTCCCGGAGAGCCTTGGAAAGACCTGAAAGTCCTATGATGTCAGCCTTAAATTTAAGAACCAAACAAATTCAACTTATACATCGCCAGTGAATCATAATTTTATGTGATAATACCCAAATTGTTTTCTAACTTAATACAGCCTTGCTTGCAGGGACCATCACAGAACCACACTCTCCTAAGGATGACCACATCCGTGGGCTTGTTATTTATTTGTTTATAATTTTATAAGAGTTTATTAATTAGAGGCAATTTAGTTGACTTTTTGGCTGTAGTTGTCATTGTTTGGCAGGCCCAGGCTGGATTCGAACCTGTCAGCTCTGGTGTATGTGGCTGGCACCTTAGCTGCTTGAGCTACAGGCACCGCCAGGCTTGTTATTTATTGACGAGACCTGCGCTCTTCTGGTCTGACCCTTCAGCCTCTCACCGCCAAGAGTTCATTCTGTATTTGTTTCCTTCTTCTCTTCAATGTGTTTTCTAAGATTTAATCTATCAAAAAACTGTATTTGTTTTCCTATTTTTAAAACCTGAGCTTCTCTTAATGCTAGCTGGCTTTAACCGTGTGAGTCGATGTTATCTCCACCAAGAACAAAGACCGTTGGTACTTTAGTTCTCTTGGGCAGCCTCCTGTTAGATAAATGCATTGTTTCTCTTGGGCCTTTGGGATATTGGCCTTTGATCAGAGATTCGCACCCTATCTTTGGTGACACAGCTGCCCAATATCTGTATAATCTCTTGCCCTCCCTTCCCTCCTTCCTCTCTCCAACACCTCTGGTAAGGACGTGTGAGTAGATAAAGGGGTGGAGGGTAGAGAAAGGGGATACCATCGCGCCCCCTCCCCAAAAGGAAATCTCACAAGATTGCCATTTTCATCTTCCCATCTCTCTCCCCATCTCTTTCTAAATCTTTTCTTGAATTGCATTTTATTAACACTGAAACACATAACCTTAAAAACAGTTTTTAAAACGTAGGAAAATTACAATCCCAATGCCTTAATTCAATCATTCCTTTAAATGGGTGACTCATTTTCAAAGATAAGACCTTATCATTTTTATTTACTTTTAATTTCATTTTATTGTTTTTGTGAAAGCAAAATGAAAACATCGGAGCACTGGGAATCTCTTTTCTATTACCAGTTCTAATTCCTTTTTCAAAGTCAACCACTATTAATTTGACATATTGATTTGTCTGCTTTCCTTCTTTTTTTCCTTTATGTAAGCAAAAAAAAAAACTAAATTTTTTGATCTTCAAGGGGCCTTTTTTTCCTTGCCTAAGATGCTTAGAGCTGTTCAATTGTATTTTAAAAAATGTCTACATTAAAAAACAAACAAACAAACAAAAAAGAACTTCTACATTGTGGGCGGTGCCTGTGGCTCAAGGAGTAGGGAGCCGGCAGAGGTGGTGGGTTCAAACCCAGCCCCGGTAAAAATAACAAAAAACAGAAAAAACTTCTACATCGCATTGCATAGTATGAGTCTATCAGAATTCCTCTCTTTCTGTTTAAATCATTAATCTATTAGTGAATTTTTTTTTGTTTATTTTTTCAACTTATCAATAATAAAGTCATAAACAATACTTGTGTATAGATCTGGATGAACACATTATGACTTTTACAGTCTACACAATTATAATTCATCTTTTCAAAACCTTGAACTTGACCTCTTTTTTCCCTCTGTACTAGGTTTCCCGCCCCCAACCCCGTGGATGATGCTGGCCTGTTCTCCTACCTCACAGTGTCATGGCTCACCCCTCTCATGATCCAGGGATTACGGAATCGCTTGGATGAGAACACCATCCCTCCACTGTCCGTTCATGATGCCTCAGCCAAAAACGTCCAGAGGTAAAGTCAGGTGGGCAAATCACTGGGTTGGTTAAAGACCATCTCTCGTTGGGAGAGTAACCCAAGATGCCTCAGGGCTGTGGGTAAAGTCCATCCTCGCTTGGTTCATGAATCTCTTGGAGTGGTGTGCATGCTTTGTACATATGGACTGGAGATCTTTTTCTCCAGGAGAAGGAGTCATATTTTTTTATCAGATTTGCCAAAGGGCCCATGAAGTCAAGAAAATTGGCAATGACCCCTTCCGGTCTCTTTAGCTTTTCTCTTCTGGAGCAGACTTCTCACAGTGGTGCGACCTGAGTATTCCATTTGGTACAGGGCTCAGTCTCCTAAACCTCAAGCCACTGTCAACTAGTTGTGTGATTAACTTTCTGGTACCGCCTGCCCCACAAGGTAAGAGGAGGATCAAATGGTGAAAAAAATGAATATGTGATTTTAAATGTCTTGTTTTCACATTTCTGCTTCTAGCTGCTTCACGAGAGAGACCAATTAGGAAATGAAAGTTTCTCAATGTGTTCAGGAAATTATGACCCAATAAAAGCCTTCCCGAAAAGAGCATTTAGTGGTCAGGGGAGTTTGTGAAAGGTTGTACATTATATCTAGATCTTAGAGATTTATAAAGCAAACTAGTGTTTTTAAGGCACTGAGAAAATGTGTAATACTTTACATATGTAAAATATGTAATGGGCCAAGCTTTGACCCACCCCTTCCCAGCCTTATTCACCAAGAAGACAGAGATGATTCCTGGAAACACCTTTTGGATAACACCAGATATTGGTCGAAATCTCATCTCTTACCAACTCTGATGTGAGACAAGTTGCCCTTTCCTGGCCTTGTGTCCTGTTTATGAGATAGTGGATCTTAAAGTTTATTTCATGGTCCTTCACAGGACTGTCATTAGAAACAAAAGACA